TTCTCATTGTAAATGCAGAAAACGGACTTCTGAGAATAATTGGATTTCCCATATGGCTTACTTAGAAGAAGAATACATTAGCCAAAGGACATGAGTGTCCACTTCTCTGATGTGACAGATCTTATTGTCAAATTAATAAACCGTCTTTCTGGCTTTTACAGGCTCTGAGAGTCTGGTACCTGTGTATCTGTCGCTGAAAGATGTATTAATTTTTGATGTGCTAACAAGTCAGGATTCTGAGATTGCAAGACCAGCCTGAGCCCTGGAGGATGTACCAGGGTAATGTCATCCCTTGGGACCTGGCTAGTAAATACCAGCCTCCTCCAGGGACTCCCTTCTGCTCTGTGTGCTTCTTTGATCCTCGGTATTTCTCAAGGGTGGACCCATGTCTGATGCTTCTTTGATATCTGAGTCATCTTCTCTCACCATGTGTGCTACAAAGCATTTTGGTTCTTAACAAATTTGTCCCTTGACTTCTTTCACTCTCAACCTAATCAAAATAACTAACATAATATCTATCTGGGGGCAAGTCAGATGGAAACTGTCCCTGGAGCATTTTTAAACTGAAATATGAATACTTAAAAAAATTCATCTGCTGCCTTTGAAAGATCACAACCTTTTGAATAACCATGCTAACTTCATCGTCTGCTTTGGCTGTGATAGCCAGTGTTCCTCAAATAAGCCAATCAACTGAGGACCTTTCTCCAACTTATACTTCTAATTAAAGAACAAGAAACCAAACACTGTGAACTCCTTTCCAAATGAAGACAATTTCTTTCATCTCCAGTGGTTTCACTGTCAATCACTTAGATAGGTTCTTTCATCTATAACAAAAGATGGCAAACTTTTTCTGTAAGGTCCACATAGTAAATATTTCAAGCTCTGTGGGTCCACAGTCTCCATTGCAGCTACTCAGCTCTGCCACTGCAGCGGGAAAGCAGTTGTAGACAATATGTAACCAAATGAGCACGGCTATGTTCCAATAAAACTTTGTTTATAGACACTGAAATTTGAATTTCATCTAAATTTCATGGGTCACAAAATGCTACTCTTCTTTTATTCCCAGCCATTCAGGAATGTGAAAACCATTCTTTTTTATTTATTTATTTATTTATTTATTTATTTTTGAGATGAAGTCTTGCTCTGTCCCCCAGGCTGGAGTGCAGTGGTGCGATCTCAGCTCACTGCAAGCTCCACCTCCCGGGTTCACGCCATTCTCCTGCCTCAGCCTCCCGAGTAGCTGGGACTACAGGCGCCCGCCACCACGCCCAGCTAATTTTTTTGTATTTTTAGTAGAGATGGGGTTTCACCGTGATAGCCAGGATGGTCTTGATCTCCTGACCTCATGATCCCCCCTGCCTCAGCCTCCCAAAGTGCTGGGATTACAAGTATGAGCCACCGCGCCCGGCCTGTGAAAACCATTCTTAGCCCACAAGACAAACAGGCAAGCTGTCAGATCTGGCCTACAGGCCATAGTTTGTCAATCCCTGCTCCATCATGATGAATGCCAGCAATGAGTCACTATACTACATGAATGTGTATGGTCCCTGTCCCTTCATAATACTCCTTTACCAACCCTGAGATCTAGGATTCATAAGTGGATCTTAAGTTCACAGTTGGCAAATTTAAAACCTTACGGGAAAAATATTTTCATTAAAATTAAAAAATGGGCCAGGTGTGGTGGCCCACACCTGTAATCCCAGCACTTTGGGAGGCTGCAGCAAGTGGATCAGCTGAGGTCAGGAGTTCAAGACCAGCCTGTCCAACATGGTGAAACCCTGTCTCTACAAAAATACAAAAATTAGCCAGGCATGGTGGTGGGTGCCTGTAATCCCAGCTACTTGGGAGGCTGAGGCATGAGAATCCCTTGAAACCAGGAGGGGGAGGTTGCAGTGAGTCAAGATCGCGCCATTGCACTCCAGCCTGGGTGACAGAGTGAGACTCCATCTCACAAAAAAAAAAAAAAAAAAAAAAAAAAAAGACATTTTACCCATCTTAAGTCCCAAATAGTGGGACTATGTAATTTGTTCCTAATTACCATCCCCTCAGAAAAAAATTGTAAGATCCCTGAGATAGTGGTGAGCTTGTTTTACTCTAACGTGTGAGATTTTTTTCAATGTTGGTTTATCCATCCAAATGTTCAATGTCTTGTCTTTCTGGTTTTAAGATTAGTATTTGTAGACCCTCATCTCCTCAGTCCCACTATAGTCCAAGACGGTGGATGCTTGATACATAAAAAGCTTTAGATTTTCTTTCTTTAACCTAATCTACATATCTACACACTTGTAATCCCCTTCCCCACTTGCAAGTATTATCCTATCTATGATAACTTTCTAGGCATTCCTAACAAACACTTTAAGGCTCGATTTTCCTTGTGTTTTGTTTGTTTCACTTCAACATTCATTGCATACTTCTTTACTCCTGCAGACTTCCTCTTTTAACTCTCCTTTTTATTTCCAGTCCCAGGGTTTCTCTTTTTTTCACCATCCACAACAGTTGTCACTTGAATGAGGCATATATTTGAACTACGTTTCCCAGTTACGTCCTTTTCCCAGTTAAAAGGTCCCAGTATCATATTCCCAAGTGAACCCACAGGGGTTCATTGTACTATTCTTTCTTTTTTGTGCAGGGTTGACAATGTCCATTATAAAAAAGTTTTTATAAAAATAGAGCATACATTCCTATATTCTAGATTTGGTCACAACAGGAATTTGTAGTTGGGAAGAAATTAGCATATTCATATGCCACACCACTGCCTGGCATGCCCTCCCTATTCTCTGCCTGGTAAAATTTCTCTCAGCCTCTGAGATCTACGCAGGACACCTATGGAAGCATCTCGATAACTCACTCATCTGCATTCCCCAAGCACTTTATACATCTCCATTAAAGCACTTACCACTGCATTGTGGTTAGCTGTTTATACAGCCGTCCCACCACCAATCTCCCCTACCCTCCAAGCCTATAAGCAACTCTCATATTTTGTTGCATCCCCAGTGCCCAGCACAGTGCCTGGAAAAGAGTATCAAGATAGCATTTCTCAGAAACGTTCAGGGCACTGTCTCCACTAAACAGGGCTTTCAGGGGGCTTCCCTAGACAACTTCCATAAACACTCTCAATTTTTCTCCTTTCCTAAAAAATAAATAAATAAATAAACAATCTAAGAGAAAAACACACCTTTAAAACAAGGCCCCCACAGCCTTCATACAATGAGATTGCTGCCCTAAACTGTTCCTCACAGGTATCAATTCTGGCATGAACACTGCAGAACATGCAAAGTTCTCTTAATACCACAAAATAAAAAGCCTACATGGCACCTCACAGTTTTCAAAGTATTTCACCTTTTTTTCTTCTTCCATTTGTCCACTTATCCCTGATAGTCCTATCCTCATTTTTCAGACACTCAAGGAAGTAAAAGTGACATGTCCAATAACAGAACTGGTAACAGCTGTGTTCCTAAAACCCTTAACTTATTGATCTCTCCACTCATCTGACTCTTCTGATGCTAGACTCAGTATCTGTGAAGGGTTTTTTTTTTTTTTCCTAGTTTTTTTTTTCCATTATGAATGGTGGCATTAAGTGAGGGCATCATGTTCTAAAAAATCCATTTCAAGCAAAATCATTTGGGCAGATACACATTATGAAAAGAGAGAGTCGACTATGTCCCACTTGTGTTAGTATTGCTCTATGATTTTGCCATAAGTACTTCTTATTGACTAATGGGTTTCCAGTGAATTAACGACTGTTCAAAAAATGCCATGCCATGCATTTATACACATAGAAATAGGTTATCTATTATCTAAACATTCCATTCATAAGGAAGCACCACTATTTATAGGTTAAGTGCAAGATCTTGAATCCCATATAATTCCTTTTTCCTGAACTATTAAATTTAGATACTTGACACATTAACAACCTCTATCCTTCAAATGCTCTTAGTTCTACATAATCCTGTATAATTTAACCATTACTTTAATTCTCTTACTATTTATTGCATGCAACTATTTCTAATATTAGTACATATCATTTTAGACATAAATAGGGCACTGCCTGCCAAAAAATCTTGCTACTGTATGGTAATTGAAAGTCAAGACTATCAGATATATTAAGTTATTCAAATGAGCTACATTTAGCTTTTCTCAAATTACTTAATATTTTTCAACAAAGGCCTATAATAGAGTATGCAAAGCATGTCACACTTAAGATTTTCAAGTTTGATCGTGTTACGAATCTGTTAATTGAAAATTTTTCAATATGGCAGAACACAAAATATTTCACACAAATGCAAATAGAGATGTCATGCAGATAGCTGCAAGACGTGAATCATTGCCCTTCTGCATTAAACTCCGAAATTCAGAGGCAGTTCACTCTGCAAGATTTCTTGCTCAGTTCTTAAAAGTTCAGATGCATCACCTTTTAATCAGGGTAATAAGCTATAATTGCTAACATACTGTGTAATGTTTACTGCTAAACCTGCAATCTGGACAAACAGAATATTATGCTGTCAGAGCCTGGAAACAACTGCAATCCACTGTTAACATACACATCCTCCTTAGAGAGAGCTGTCGTCGGGAGTTATATGCTTTATGTACGGTTTTAATTTTTTTTTTTTTTTTTTTTTTTTAGCGTAAAGGTCTTTTCCCGAGAAGCAGGTATTAAGAAGAAAGCAGCCTCCCAAATGACCTTCTCTAACACAGACCTTGAGCGAGCGACTGCGGGGGCAGAAAACTGTGAATTTCAGCAAGGGACTCGACAGCTCCACTGGGTCCCTCACACTTTGCTTTCGAGAACAAAAAAAAGAATGTTACTCTGTACCTGCCGGTGCCCCCACCCCTCCTTAAAACTTAATACCCCGCAAGGTCTGAATAGCCAGAGAGGGTATGCATCGATTCTTCCGTCCCGTGATGCCAAGAGAAAATAAACCCCCACCCAGGAGCGGAGCCTGGAGTCGCGGCGGGGCGGGGGGTTGGAGAGGTGGGTGCTCTCTCCCCTTACTGCGCTGCATTTTCTCCACCACGAGTAATAATCTCATGCCACTGGTACCCCACGAGAGGCGGGGGTCCTTGTCCTCCTGTCTCCCGGGCGAGGACCTCAACCCCTTCCCCCGCTCGGGGACCCCGGCCACCCGCAGCCCGGCCGCGCTGCGCCCAGGTGTGAGGCTGCGGCGGTCTCTGGGCCCGGGCAGCGCCGCAGAGCTCGGCCCCCAGCTGCGGCCCCCGGCCGAGCTACCTTTTATCCAGGCAGGCGATCCACTCGGCGGAGGAGGAAGAATGGGCAGCGTGCGCAGCGACCATGTTGAGCTGCGGCGCGCGGTGTCCCCGGCTGCTGCGACCTCCCGCGCTCGAGCTGCCTGCGCCTCCGCCCCCGCCTCGCCCGCCGCGCGGACCCCGCTCCTCCCGGCCGCCTGGCGACCAGCGCGGCTGCGACGGGCCCGCCCTCCCCGCGGGCTCCCGCGGCCTGGGGCGGGGGGGCGAGGGAGGGGACCTGGGGGGCGGGACGCGGGCGCGGGGAGGGCCAAGCCGCCCGCCCGCCGCTGCGCTGCGGCGCCCGGGGGTGGGGATTCCACCCCGGGGTGGGGACCCCGCGGTCCCGTCCGCTGGGGGGCACTGGGGCTGGCGACCCTAGTGGCTGGCCACCTGCGACAGGTGGCCGCTGCGTCCCTCGGAGACTGGGGCCCCACCCTCATCCCGGGGCCTCTGAGGCGGGGCGGGAGGGCAGGCGCCGCGGCGCGAGTGGGGAGGGGGATGCCAGTGTCTATATATTTTTCATACAGCAAATGCCACTAAAATGGCTGCTGCCTCTCTGTTTCCTTAGAAACCGATGAGTCTTCCTCAGCAGCTGCCGAAACTTGCGGCGGTTGCTTGCTCACCTTTGCTGCCTCCCCTTCAGAAAGGGCTGGAGGGGAGGGCGAGGAAGGCTTGGCGTGGGGCCGCCCGTCGAGTCTCTCAGTGAGGAATGAGAGGCCAGCTTCTCCCGCGGGGTGAGGAAGGGCTGGGCGCAATGGGGGGCAGTGCGGGCAGGGCTGGGGGCAGGGAGGGAGGGGGCTGGTGGGCCCGATGCGGACTGAGGGGGTGACAGGCTGAAGTCACTGGCCTTGAACCCTGGGCTTTCCTGGGCTTCCATCACCTGCATGGTGAAGAAAACACAGTTGAGAATGGGGAGCAGCCGGGCCACAGCAGAACTGAGGTTTTAGGATGCGGGCTGAGACCCCGGAGCGCTCAGGTGAACTTGGATGGCTGGCCCCACTTGCTGTTCTTCCTCTGGCTGGAGTGTTGAATGGGTGGTGATAACGGCCTGGCTCTTGTAGATGTTCACACAAATGTCATGTCTACAAGTTGTTCAGTTACACTCTGCCAAGAACCAAATTACATGCCAATGGTCGTTTAGGAATTTGGGGACAAGTTAAATCTTTTGGACTATTACCAAGCATTGTTTTGATATTTATGGCACTGCATTTGGGGGCCAGACAATGGGAGAAAGGGACATAGCATTGCTTTCTTGTACTGTTCCCCCTCCCCCCGCCCCCACCTCCCATCCAACCCTGCTAAGGGGAGAGTCAAGGGGACTGGAGAGAAGGAAAGAGCAAGTGCTCTCTGGGATGCTTTGATTCTAATAAAACAATTATTACCATGATATAAAAGCCTCCAAAGATGTGCCATTTCCCTCTGCTCGATAGCCAGGATCTGGTTTCAGACCTGCCACAGTGTTCCCGCAGCAACTCTTCCCTCCCTGCTCAGGGCTTTTCCCCCAGTTAACCTTCATTCTGTTAATTTCTATCATGTTTATGGTAATATTTAAAATACTATACTATATAAAGGTTAACCAAAGGTATTTATGTTGCAGCTTTTTTACTATACAGGTATGAAGGAGGAACTGTATCTCCTATATATATTAAGTTTCATTTATTAAAACATCAGAGAGCACCTGAGAATGTTTCAAGGTCACCAAAAGCTTTCCGAAAATGGCTTTCTGCAAAGAAGATTTCCAAGTAAGGAGCTAGAGGAGAAAGGAGCTGCACATCACGTATTATCACACAGGCTTGGAGTTGCCATAGCTTTGGTTATGATACTAATAATAGTTACCATTTATTGAACATCCACTGAGTGTTAGACCCTGTGCAGCACTCCTTGGATGTGTGATCCGGTTTAATCTTCAGAACACTCTATGAGGCAGAGCCAGAAGGACACTACTCCACAAAGAGCAATAAATCCTTGAAAATGTAATGAAATATTGAAAATGATATGTATCAGTACTTTCAGGGAGAGTGTTAATTGGATTGGAAGGAAGACACTGATGAGCTGCTGGGAGTGAGAGTGAGACCCTTGAGGAGTTTACAGTGCATTTTAAGGAGTGTAGCCCTGATGAATTGCAAGGCCTTTGTTTTGCTGTGTGGGGGCCCTGCCTTTTCTCTAAAGAGAAGTTGAAGACTTATTTAAAGAACATCCTTTCGAAGGAGCACCAAAAATCACTAGCTCATCCAGAGCGTGCGCATGTCTCCATCCAGCCCTAGAGGAAGGTACAGCGTCCAAGATACTCACTAAGACGCTGAACTCAGGAAGGGTCTAACCCAGCTACAGGAGATGGGGCCCCAGAGCTGAATTTGGGTCTGTCTGATTCCAAACCCTTGCACATCAGTGATGGTATCCCTGTTTCTGCCAGTAGAATGGCAGTATAGGGCATGTCTACAATGACTCTCCAGAGGGTAAGAACAAAATAGTTATAAATCAGTTTTTTAATGTAAAAATAGAGAAATGTGTGAGGAATTAAAAACTAGAGATCCTTAAAACGTCAGGAATAGCTTTACTGTCCTATAGATTATCTTGTGATCTGAAAGGGATTTGATTGCTGGTCAAGTACTACAGGAATAAAGGAAACTCTGCTGATAATTAGTTATTATAGTATTAAGAGAAAAAAATGGGCTTTTGCTTGGATTGGATGGGAAAGGCAAAGAACCAAAGAATATTTATTTATTTCTCTCTCTTTAAAAGAACATAATGTATGTCAGTCCCAAAAGAGCACATTTTGTATTATCCTATTTATGTGAAACTTCCAGAAAAAGCGAATCTATAGAGATGGAAAGTAGATTAGAGATTGCCTAAGTCTGGGAGGTGGGAATAAGGGATGACTGCAGATGGACCTGAAAAATCTTCTAGAAATGATCTAAAATTGGACTGTGGTGATGGATACACAACTCTATAAATTTAATAATAATCATCAAATGGTATAGTTAAAATGAGTGAATTTTATAGTATGCAAATTATCTCAATAAAAATGTTAAGTAAATTAATAATGAACCCATATGGAGAGGAAAAATATGATTGATCTTTTGGGGGGAAATACAGGAAAGTATAGGAGAAAAAGTAAAAATTACCCATAATTCCATCACCTAGAGGTAATACTGTTAATATTTTAGTGCATTTAATTCTAAACTTTTCTATTATAAAAAGATACAATCAAGGCCAAGCACAGTGGCTCACATCTGTAGTCCCAGCACTTTGGGAGGCCAAGGCAGGGGGATTGCCTGAGACCAGGAGTTCAAGACCAGCCAGGGCAACATAGTGAGACCCCCATCTCTACAAAAATTTTTTAAAAATAAAAATTAGAAGTGATATGATCATACATGTACCCACAAACATATACATATATGTATATGTATATATGTGCCTATCATGTATGTGTATGGATACATATATTCAAACAGACTTGAAAGCATTAATAGTTTATAGGCTACTTTTTCTATTGGAATGGAAAAATGCTTTACTTTCCTTAAAAAATCCTTAAACATTTTTTTCTGGCCACCAAATATTCTAGTGTATAGCTATAATTTACTTACACTATCTTTTGAGACTTGTTTTTTCACTGGGAAAAGGTATTATCTGCTTAATCTCCTTCCTGTAGTTTAGTGAACTCTTTCTCTACTAGAGAACTAAGATCTCTACTGAAGATCTCCATGAGACAAAGATGAGACAAGACCAATATCTGTTCATGCTATGTAGATCCTCAAACGAGTTGCTAAATGTCTGATTTCCATTTTGTTCATCTGAGCAGAGGTTCAAAGTTAGGAATTTGAAGGCAGACAGCCAAGTTCAAATTGCAGCCATATCTTCTACTAAATGGCCTTAAATTAACTGCTTAGCCTAAGACTCCATTTCATCATCTGTAGAGTGGAGAAATTAATAGTATTATACATGAATTTGGTATTTGTAGGATATTTAGCACAAGTGCCAAGCACATAGTGAGTGTTCAATAACTCTTAGCTATTATTCTCCATATAGTACAGATAATACTAGGTGCTCTCTGCATTTCGCAGGGACCTGGTGGTGATAAGCCATCGAGATCACTTATACTAAAGGGCTTTGACATCTATAAATTGCAATTTTTGGCTATGAAGGATACAAGGGATGGGTCTCCTGAGAAACCCATAGAAATTCTCCAGGAAATTCTATTGTAGATCGAGCATTCACTCATATCTGTATATGGGGAAAAAAATCTGATTCACCATGTTTTAGGTACCTGATTGGAAGGTAGGTTATTAAAATACATCTATCACTCCTGCTGGTGATATAACCAATTCAATGAAGACACAGTACTCCTGGGGTGAAATCATAAAAGCAATTTTAATGTTTTCTCTCACTGTCTTTTTAAACTTGCTCAGTGAAGGCAATTCTACCTCTGCCACTGGATATAGCTTTTTTGGTCACTTATAGGTAATAGAAAGTACCAGATTCTTTCTATTAGAGTGCCCAAACCAATATATCGCTACACATTTCAATCTTTATTTCAAAGAAAAGAATTCTCTCCTCCTCCTCAACCTACAGCTGGTCATAGGCAGGTCTCAGCCTTTAGGAGAGAAGACGTGGTCAGCTTCTCCTTTCCTTCCTCATCCCAGACCACCATGAAAGCTGCTGGTTTTGACCCTTCCAGGATCAGAGTAGGGAAGGAAAGAGAGAAAAGAAGGGCAGGTAAATTCTTACTTTACTGGAACAGTTGTAAGATGGCATTGTCTTTTCCAAACCTGGCAAATGTCAAGCCTGCTCTTTCTCTTGTGGGTGCCTTCATGTTTTCTTAGGTGCCCCTCCTGCTGGGCCCCCCACATAGGCAAGTGCCACTGGATTTCCTGAGTCCCCTCCAAATTTCCTCCCTCTATAGGACTCCCAATTTATCCTCCACCCACACCCCAGCTGTCCTCCTGCGCAGGATTTAAAGGGGCTCCAGGATCATTCTCTTCTGTGTGTCCCACATTTGGTCCATAGGGACACTCAATGCCTATTTTGCTCTAATAAACTCAGTGCAGACCAATCCTACAAACAGCACAGCCTCTTCACTCGCCAAAGAGGCTCACCAGTCCCTCTCTCTTGATCTGTAGGTTTCCAGGGCTGTAGTCAGACAACAATCCCCTATGCTCCCAACTTATAGGTTCTCTGAGTGGCCCACATGGAGAGGAAAAAATAATATGAGAAATACTATTTTTCAAGGCTTTCCATGACTAAAACAAGAAAATATTCCTGTTTTAGTCATGGTTCTCCAGAGAAATAGAACCAATGGGTTATATATCTATAACTATGTCTATATCTGTATCTATAAAAGGAGATTTATTATGAGGAATTGGCTCCCACAATTATGGAAGCTGAGAAGTCCTACCATATGCCATCTGCAAGATGGAAACCCAAGAAAGCAGTGTAATTCCGTCTGAATCCAAAATCCTGAAAACGAAGGAAGCTGCTAAAAATCCCAATCCAAGAGCAGAAGATGAGATGTCCCAGTGCTAGCAGTAAGGCAGGAAAAAAGGGGCAAATTTCTCTTTTTGTTCTGTTCAGGTCCCCAACTAATGGGATGCTGCCTCCTCGAGGAGGGCCATCTACTGACTCCACTGATTGAAATGCTGATCTCATCCAGAAAAACCCTCACAAAAAACACAAAGAAACAATGTTTAATCTGGGGACCTCTTGGTCCACTCAGGGTGACACATAAAATTAACCATTACAACTCCTCACAAAATCTTCCTTTAATTTCTCCTTCATAGGCACTGTTATTTCCCCCTTTGGGTGAGAAGTTTTGGACCCGTGAAACTGGTCTTTAGTATTTTGATTGAAAGTTTGCATCTTGGCATCTCAATTTGGAATTATGTATCTATTCTACTTTGGTGCCTCCTGTGAAACTTGCAATTTAACATCTGTGACTTAGGCTAGTGAAAACTGAATCAAGTCAACTTCCTTCCACACCTTCAACATTAATTCCTACTCAACCAAGACAATTGCCTTTTCTCCGCAAAGTGATTCGCCTGGGAGTTGTGAGGAATACCATACTCATTAGGGAAGTACAGCTCTTACAGTCTCTTGAGCTTTCTAAAAAAGAAATGCATAATTAAAAATATCTGATCAGGACAGTCCCAATTTGTGGGTTATAATAAAATGCTTGTGGTTTGTTTTAAAACTGTGATTTGTCCATTTAGGGGAATATATTTGGATTAAGATCTTAAAGCAATAATAAGTTGGGACAGGAAAGTGGCTAAAATTTTATTTACGATAACAAAATTTTTTAGACTTTACTGCTAAAGCAAAAGTCACAAATGACCCACATTTAGGACCTCAATATTTTCAGTACTAAATTAGGTATTGAGGAAAGAAAAGAACTTTCATCTGAGGATTGTGAGCCCTTTTGAATTGTTAGGCCCAGAGAAGCATTAAAATGAGATCACAGTTGTACCTTATTCCCCACTCTGAGCTATGTATTTATCTCCTGAAACTGGTTAGCTATTGCCACAGTAGCTATAAATTAATCTAATAGTGACACTCCGGACACTATAACCCACACCCTATAGCTTAACAATGTATAGCCAATCACTAATCAGTGTTAATTCTGTAAACCAATGAGAATTCCTGACAAACAACTTTGTATCAGCCCACTCGCTGTCTTCCTTTCTTACCTTTAAAACTCAGCCTGTAGGCCCTGTGCAGTGGCTCACTCGTGTAATCCCAGCACTTTGGGACGCCAAGGCGGGTCGGTCGCTTGAGGCCAGGAGTTCAAGACCAGCCTGGGCAACATGGCGAAACCCCGTCTCTACAAAAAATACAAAAATCAGCCAGGCATGGTGGCACTCACCTATAGTCCCAGCTACTTGGGGGGCTAAGGTGGGAGGATCACTTGAACCTGGGAGGTTGAGGCTGCAGTAAGCTGAGATTGTACCACTGCACTCCAGCCTGGGTGACAAAGTGAGACCCTGTTTAAAAAGAGAAAAAAGGAAAAGAAAAATAAAAAGATAAATAAAAGTCCACCTGTAACTGCCACTAATCAGAGTGTCTATTCAGGGCAACGTGCATCTATGCTCCTGGGTTGCAATCTTCAAACTCGGCCCAAATAAACTCCTACCTATATTAACTCTGCCTCAGTTCCTTTCTTTTAGATCGACAGTATTATTACATTTCTTTGTGACTTTTAGAAGCAGAGTTTTTGTTTTGGTTTGGTTTTGTATTTCTATCATTATGGCATGTAAAAGTAATTTAAATTAGAAAGGAATTAGCCATTTAGTTTTAACTGTACTTTAGATATATCCAACTTCGGGGCACTAGAATTAAGGCAGACAACTAAATATGAGCACAAGAAAAAAAAATTGGTTTGAACTTGTCTAGTGACTGCCTTCCAATCTCCAGCTTCATAGAAGACTAAGGTAAAGTTCTGTTTTTTACTCCCTGTGCTCTTCAGATAACTTCATAGGTAAGTGCAGTTATAGTTCCTAGTTTTACAGAAAGGTAACTTATACAGTCAGGAGGCAAAGTTAAAATGAACTCCCTTAATTTAAAAAAAAATTCAGAGTTAAAATTTGTGACTTAGTTATTAATGGAAGCAAGTCTTAAGAGAAAAGAAAAATCTTTTGTCCTGGAAGTAACTGTGTCTGCTTGAGAAGCATACTGACCTCTATAAAGAAAATGGTAGTTATTAGTGTTCGTTCCTGTAACATACAAACTCCCTGCATCCTGGGAGGCAACAGGCTAGGAAAGAGCTTGAAAGCTCCGCCTTGCCCCCTTCCCAGAAGGAACAATTCCTCACAAACCGCGAATGGTGTAAGTCAGCAATCCACAAATCACTCAGGTCCAAACTGGGTTCAGCACTCCACCTATGCCGAAGTCTTCCTCACCAAAACGAAGCCTGCACTTCCTCACCGAAACAAAAGGAGAGGGTTACCTATGCCACTTTCTCAACCTCAGGTGGTAAAGTTGCAGTAATGAACTTTGGTGCATAATCTGCAGTGAGGAAAATGTCACCATGTCACAGCTTTAGTCTTAGGACTATTTTCTAGTGGAGTATATTTATTTTGGTGAAATAACAAGCTGCCATTGCTTTTTATCGTACGAAAGACACAGAGTACATTATTCAACTCACAAAATCTCTACCTGTGTTATGCACATTTTTCACACTAATCGAGAAAATTACCACAAACTAATTTTGAATGAATTATGGTCACCCAGTGTTTGTTACAATTTCCTTTTCACCAGTAATCCAATATGGTCTCCTACATTTTTCAAAAAATGGAAGACTTTATATAGTGGATTCCACAGAGAAAATAGCACAGGAAAGAGAGAATGTGACTAAAAATCATAGTGATTATATTGAACCAAGAGCATATGTGACTTGAAGGAAGTAAAATGGACAATTGTCATTTAAAGTGAGACATATTAAATCTTGACTGGGCAATAAGTAATAAGGAGCTGAGCTCTTTTGCTTAGGTGACCCTAATTTTCACCTTAAAAATATGATAGTGCCACAGCTAGTAAAGAAGATATATTTATTGGCATTTTGGGACTAAAAGTACTAGTTTGGTTCCAGAGACAGAAAGTAACTCAGGAAGCTTAGAAGAGGTCAACCTGGGAAGACAGGATTCTTTCTCCCCACTGTGACTCTGCAGGAAGCGATAACCTCCCCTCCGGGCAAGGTCGACCCTCCAAGTCCAGATGAGAAGAGTTCCCTCTGTCTGCTCTTTCCTCTGCCTTATGACCCAGAGGTTTTGCAGCTGCGATCCTGGCAGCCCCTGGCCTCCTCAGGGAGCTGCGGAATTCAAGCCCTGGAAATGGAGCTCTGCTTTCAGCTGCACCTGGGTCCTGACCTGCTTAAGACAGGCCTGTCTGGACCTAAGAGAACCCCACTGCCACCCACTCAGCTACTCCCTAACAGACTGCAGAGACAAAGTCTTTTTCATTTCTTTATATTCATTGACTCCTCGAGTCATTGAAACTCAATAAATATTTACTGAGCACCTACAATGTGCCAGACACTGTGATAGGCACTGAAAAAAGGGCAAAGGACGAGCAGATAAATTTCCTACTTGCAGGGAACGCTGTGGTAGTGAGTAAAATGAGACATAGGAAATAAACACATAAATATATAATATGTCCAATGGCGATAATTGATGTGAAGGATGATTAAGCAAAACAAAGAAATGCAGAGACAGGGAAGGGGCATCTATCTGGTATGAAGTAGTCAGAGAAGGCCTCTCTGGTCAGATGACATTTGGGCAGAACCTGGGGCCTGTCTCAGCACCACCTGTCCCTTCCTCAGCCACTTGCTCCCTGCAGCCACCACAGGCCCCTGTGGTTTTCCTGCCTGAGGCTCACCAGCCACAGGCCTAGAATATCTGGCTTCTCTCCCCATGTCCAAACTCAGCAGAAATGCCAAGCTGCAGGGCCTTGTTTCCCGAGCAACTGCCAATGGGGCTGAATGATGCAACACGGAAAGGAAGAGGATTTAATTCCCCCTGAATGGACTTTGACCAGTGGGAGACAGGAAACAGGAGATTGGAGGATACTGGGCAGCTGAACTGCCTCTTCCTTTCCCCCTCCGTCTGGTGCACAATTTCTCCACACAGCCTGCTGTGTGGCCAAGCCTGTGCACCGACTGAGTGTTATGGGTTCACCTATGTTCCCCAAAGAGATATGTCGAAGTCCTAACCCCCAGGAACTGTGAATGTGGCTTTATAGTATTTGGAAATAGGGTCTTTGCTGATGGAATCAAGTTAAGATGAAGTCATTAAGGGAGTGGGGGCCTAATCCAATCTCTTGTTCTTAGAAGGAGAAAGACAGAGACACATCAAGAGAAGATAGTGAGGTGACATTGGAGGCAGAGATTGGAGTAATGTATCTAAATGCTAGGCAACACCACAGAGAGCCTCAAACACTAAGCCTAGAAGAGGCAGGGAAGGAGCCTCCCCTACAGGTTTCAGAGGGAGCATGGCTTCGCCATACTTGAATTTCAGACTTCTAGCATCCAGAACTGTGACACAATACATTTCTGTTGTTCTGAGTGACAACAGTGTGTGGTGCGTTACTACAGCTGCTCTGGAAACTAACATATTGAGCGGCCAGCTGTGTGAGATTGTACCTCCCAAGTAACCCTCTAAGCCTTAACCTTTGCCCAGGCCTCTGTTTCCAGAGAACTGTGACAATGATAGGTAGACCTGAATAAAGCAAAGGATGGTATCTACAGGGATATTTGAGGCAGGGAGTGCTGACAAGGGAGGAGCTAGTGCAAAGGCCCTGAGGTGGCAGTATGCTTGGCGTGTTGGAGGAGCAGGAGGGCGGCCAGGGTGTTTGGGGAATGAATAAGGGCAAGAGTGTTCAGAGAAGAAGTCAGAGAAGGGACCAAAGACATGTTCTCTAGGGCCAGAAAGGCATTTGGATCTTTTCAACATTATCTTCTTGACATGTAATTTATATAGTAGTAAAATGAAGAAAATGGGTGACTATTTTGTGATTTTTTTAGATATATAAAACCATGTGATCACCATCCAGATCAAATGTTGAACATTTCCATCACCCCAGAGAGTTCACTCCTGTTACCTTCCAGTTGGTACAACTTACCAATCCTGAAGCAACCACTACTCTCTATCACCATAAATTTGTTTTAACCTGTTCCTTAATGGCATATAAACGAAACAACATAGCATGCTTTTGCTCAAAATAGTGCTTGTGAGGCTCATCCAGGTTGCTGTGTGTATACTTCAATTATTTTTATTGCTGAGTAGTATTCCATTGCCTGGATATATCACAAATTATTTATCTATTCTTCTGCTGATGAATATTTGAGTTATTTGCAGTTTAGGCCTGTAATAAATGAAGTTTCTAGGAACATTTATGTTTTCCTCTTATTTTGGTTGTATGCAATCATTTCTCTTGGTATAAACCTAGCAGTGTACTTTCTGGGTCGACTGGCTTAGGTTTAGGTTAACTGTGTTCGTTTATACCATTTCATACTCCTGCCAGCAATATATGAGTTCCAGATATTCTGCATTCTCACCAACACTTGGAGCCTTTCTGGTAGGTGTGTAGTGGTATTGAATTGTGCTTTTAATATGCATTTTCCTGCTGACTAATGCACTCCTTTTTATATGCCTATTATTCACATATCTCCTTTTATGAAATACGCGTTCAAGTGTTTTGTTCACATTTTATGTTTTTGTTATGGCCACATCTCACTTCCAGAATCTGTATTGGTTATCTATCGCAGCATTTAAAAAGTACTCTAAAGCTTAACAGCTAAAAACAACAAACATTCGTTCTTTCACACAATCTCTGAGGGTCAGGAACCTGGGTGCAGCTTCATGGGATGGTTCTGGCTCAGGGTCTCAGGTTGCATTTGAGCTGCTGAGGTTGCAGCCCTACCTATCAAAGCTGAACCAGAGCCAGACTCCATGTCTGAACTCACTTATGTGAGCTTCAGCGTGAGAAATGTATGAATTTTGTTTGACAAAATATTGAAAAGCTTAACAACTTCCTCCTACTCTTATTGGCCTCTTGGTGCCCAGTATCTCAGTCTGAAAAATCTCATCTATAGGAATAAATGGCAGGAAAGACAGAACCAAGGCCCCACAGCTATCAGGGAGGTTGGCAGATGAGTGAGGAAAAAGGGGTGTCAGCAATCTAAAAATATTCAGGCTCACAGAAATATAACTGAAATGACTCACTTTTATCAAGATCCTGCCATCTCACTTAGCAGCTTAAAAAAATAATAGATCACAGCAGAATGTTTCAAATTCTCCATAAATGGCCATGTGATCCGGCAACCTACCTGTGGAAATTTATGCCAAGATTAGAATCTACAAAACACATACAGAGACACACATTAAAGTATTATTTATTAGGAATCTAAATTGTGGAATCATTAAAGAGAATACATATTCCCTCAAAAGAATACCATGGCGTTATTAAAAGTAGTCATTATGAGTGGTTAGGATATAATATAATATTACAGGAAATTCTTAGGATATACCATTAAGTAGAAAAACTTTTCTTCCCAGCTTTTCAATGTGAAAATTTTTGAACTTACAGAAAAGTTGTAAGACCAGAAAAATAAATGCTTGTATAGCCTTCATCTAGATTCTCCAACAGTGACCACAGTTGCCACATCTCTTTAAGTGTAATGCACCTCCTTTGAGAGTAAGTGCAGACATTTTGACACCATGGTCTAAGTACTACAACACTTATCTAAAATTATCGAAGGAAACTCTTGTACAGTTTTCACACTCAAGACATTTAACTTTGATATAAAGTTTATATTCAAATTTCTCCAAAAGATTTAAAACTATCTTTTTGGCTTGTTTTAGCCAGGACTCAATGGAGAATTGAGCATTGCATTTAGTTGTTGTGCCTCTTTAGTCTTTTTTGATCTAAAACAATCCCTCAACCATTTAAAAAAATTCTTTAATGACTGACATTTTTAAAAGACTCTGGAGCAGTTATTTTACAGAATATCCTTCAAGTTGGATGTGTCTATTTCCTCATGATTAGAAATTACATGAACTTTTTGGCTAAATTCTCCATTTTATTTTGTGTTCAAAATATATTACTCTTTCCCATGTCCTGTGAAAATAAAAAATCTCTAATGTGTTTGTGAAAAAGATTCAACTAAGATTTTGTTAGGATGCAGTGTGTTTTGGACTTAGGTGTGTGTATCTGAATTTCGTCCTTTGTCATCAAGAAAATAGTATAATAACTAAGAACATGTAGCTTAAGAAATCCAGGCACTTGAGAGCCACCGTAAGTAAACCTAATTCCCACAGCAGAAAGAAGGGGTCTATCTGCTTTTTAACCACCAAACAGTTGTCTGTATCAGGGACTGTTTCCTATTCTTTGTTTCCTTCTATTTGCCAGACCATCTATAAACCAGTAAGGAGTTCATCGGATCATCAGAATAGACTTCAAGACACTAGATCACAATCCCAAAGATTAAAATCATCTGCTTTGCCACTGCTCCGATGGAAGCAGTATGTGTGCCTTCAAAATTGTTTTACTAGAAATTTTGAGTCCTGAAAATACCTGATTTCTAAACTAAACAAGCAGAATCTAGGCAGAGGGATGTGTAAATTTCATTTATAACTTAGCTGATTAAGGCTGCCAATAAATCATACCAACTTATATAAGTAGCAGCCATGGTAAGGATATTGCCTTAATGGTAAGTGCCTCCTACTTGAGACTTACAAATATGGGTACTATTTCTAGGAACAGCTGACTGAATGCATCTAAGAGCTTGGCTTCAGTCCCAGGGATGACGAAGTTCTTTGAACCCATGCCATCACTCCTACCTCACCTGCCATGATAGTTATTGCCAATTAATCACAGTGTTCTTTTCTATTAGCCTGGACACTGCCTCAGACAACTTCCCAACACAGCTCTATAAGCAGCCACTAATAATAATTTGGAGTCAATACATCAGATGAAATCTTTTATCACCCTTGGAAAATATATTTTTCTAAATCTCATCTAGTTTTTAGCTTCTCGACTTCATCTACACACGAATGGTGAGGGTCCAGGAGTTTGTTTCTTGTGAATGACCTACAGACAACTGGCTAGCCTGGTAAAAATCTCATATCAGAGCAGGTTGACCAGGTGATTTGACAAGGGAAGGAAAGGATAAGATTAGTTAGGGTTGGCCATTTGCCCAGACAATTGACCTCAATATCTCTAAGAGCTGGAACACAAAGTTGATGTCTTGCTCATGAAATAATCCAAGTTGACTCCAGTCTTGGGGGATGGGAGTATATGAGTTCCATTCTACACAGTCATTAGGTATTCAGACCAATAGAGGTTCTGCCTTCTTAAACACCTGACTTCCCACATCACTGTGGGCATTTGCATCCACCTGTTGGTAAGGGAAGGAGCATGGAGGAGTGCCACATGAGTGGCTTTTACAGGGGAGGCCTGAAAGGGGCTCACATCAATTCTGCAATTTTATATTTGCTAGAACACAGTTACATGGCAGTAGCTAACAGTAAGGCAAGCTGTAAAGTGTAGTTTATGGAAGGGCCAACTCTTCCCAATGGCACTGTACTACAGAAGGGAGCATAAATGTTTGGTGGCCAGCCAGCCACCTCTGCCCACAAAGTGGGGCTATTCTGGGAAACTCCAAGTCTTCTTGTAGGACAAGAAAATAATGATAACACTTGAGTGCACATAGCAATATGCCAGACACAATATTGCCTGGCCTTTTCCTAACTGTTCTGTGACTCAGCCAAATGTGAAGATGAAAATTTGGATAGTGAAAATTATTAACCCTTCTGTGCATTACTGGGAAAAATCTGTGAAATGTTAATCTCTAGAATATCTTTAAAGATACAATAGGGGCCGGGCATGGTGGCTCACGCCTGTAATCCTAGTACTTTGGGAGGCTGAGACGGGCAGATTACCTGAGGTCAGGAGTTCAAGACCAGCCTGGCCAACATGGTGAAACCCCGTCTCTGCTAAAAATATAAAAATTAGCTGGGTATGGTGGCACACACCTGTAATCCCAGCTACCTGGGAGGCTGAGGCAGAACTGCTTGCGTCTGAGAGACGGAGGTGGCAGTGAGCCGAGATCATGCCACTGCACTCCAGCCTGGCTGACAGAGTGAGACTGTGTCTCAAAACAACAACAACAAAAAGATACAATGGGAGTTCTACTTCTACCTAGGATGTAGAAAGCAGACAAGAACACCTTTTCCACCCTAGAAATAAGAAAAACACAGATAAAATACAAACTCATAATTTTTCTTGAATCCATCAGATTGTTAAGGCCATAGGGCAACTAGGTAGCTTGGAATCCAAGGTCTCTCTAAGAATACAGGGTGCGAGCTCTGGCTCACCTTTGGCAGAACACAGGAAGAAGAGGTGCTGGTTGGCATTGAAAAAGTAGGAAAGACTTGCTAAAATTTCTAACAAATTGCAGAAGTCTGACTGTGAACTAGTGTGACAGTACAGGTTTGTCTGGGAGCCACAGACAGAAAAGCAGTTCACACTTACAAGATCTTCTTCACAGATTTCCATTTGGTGCTCATGAGAAAGACTGGGTGAGGGTGGGGAACCAGAGGGAGTCTTCCTTGGTGGTGCAGGCCTGGAGGAGGGGAGTGCAGTTGCTGAGGGAAAGTCACAAAGCCCTCCTTAGATACTTTCTCAAGTAACAAAAGCCTCTAGCCTTGGGGGAAGAAGCAGAAACTCTGTATATCTCCAAGACTAGATGAAAACTCATTACAGCTAGAGAAAGGGAAAACAAAACCTTGTCATTATTGGAGGAGCAAGGAACAGTCCTGGGCTCAGGATCCTACATCATTACTATTAGAAGTCTCCTACCCACTGGGCAGGTGCAGGGAAGTCCCATAGAAGATTTGCCAAAGATGCAAGGCAGTTTGGCTGCCATGAAATGGAGAAGTAGGATCACATAGGAACAAAACGACTAAGCTTGCAATACAGGGTAACAAGCAATAGCAGTCCACTCCTTGGGAAGATAGATCCCTTTTGTGGTGCTACAACACAGGAAAGGCTGAAAGCTGGGGGAAGAGCAGCAACATTGAGAAAATCTCAGCCAAGAGCAGTGGCTCATGCCTGTAAACCCAGAACTTTGGGAGGCTGAGGTGGCGGGTTACTTGAAGTCGGGAATTCAAGACTAGCCTGGCCAACATGGTGAAACCTCACCTCTATTAAAATTATAAAAATTAGCCCAGGGTGGTGGCGCATGCCTGTAATCCCAGCTATTTGGGAGGCTGAGGCATGAGAATCACTTGAACCCAGGAGACAGAGGTTGCAGTGAGCTGAGATTGTACCACTGCATACCAGCCTGGGCAACAGAGCAAGACTCTGTCTCAAAAAAAAAAAAAAAAAAAAAAGAGAGAGAGAGAGAGAGAAAAGCTCTTTGACACCCAAGCAGCAACAAAACCTGCTCAACTGCTAACTAGATAAACTCAACCCCTATACAAATAGCCTAGCAGAAGAGACATGCTCATTGCTGATCATATATACTGTTTATTTCAGCCTCTGTTGTCCTACAAACAATGTCTGGTATTCGGTCAAAAATAATAAGACAATAAGATAAGGAAAAGCAACCGACTGTCATGAGATAAAGCGATCAAGAGAACCAAACTCAGAGATGATTCAGATGTTGGAACTATCAGACAAGCCATTTGAAATAACCATTAGTAATATGTTAAAGGCTCCAAATGGAGAAGGCAGACAATGTGCATGAACCAATATGGAATTTCAGCAGAGAGATGAAAACTGTAAGAAAACATATATTGGAAACACTGGAAATAAAGCAAGATGGGAACAAAGATAAACATTTCTTACGTATGACACCAAATAAAAACCCACTGAGACATCACTACATACCTAACAGAATGTTTAAACTTAAAAAGACCAGCTTCGGAACCACATGATGACCAGGATGTGAAGTACTGGAACCATCATATATTGCTAATGAAAATATGAAATAATATAGCCACTTTAGAATATAGTTGGTAAGTTTTTTTCATAAAGCTAAATATACAATATGATCTAGCCATCCTCTCTTAACCATTTACCAAAGAGAAATAAAAACCTATTTTCAACCAAAAACCTGTACGTGACTATTTATAGTGACTATTCATAACCTCCAAATGCTAGAAACAACCCAATTGTCTTTCAGCTGGTGAATGGATGAAGTGTAGTACATCTATGCAATGGAGTACTACTCAGCAGTAAAAGCATGAGCTGCTGGACATGCAGCAACTTGGATAAATCTCTAATATATTATGCTAAATGAGAGGAAAAAGACTAGAAGAGCTATATAATGATCTAATTTTTAGGACCTTCTAGAAAAGGCCAGACTATAAAGAGAGAAAATAGATCAGAGCTTGCTAAGAACTGATGGAGAGGTTTTGACTAAAAAAAATGAATTTTGGGGGTGATGGAAGTGTTCTATATCTTGAATGTAGTGGTAGCTGTACAACTTTATGTTTTTGTCCAAACTCATAGAACTGTACATTTAGAAAGGTGATTTTTAAAATATGTAAACATATACTTCACAAAAATAATAAACAAACACATAAAAAGACATAATAAATAAAGACAGGGACTCTGGCTTCCTGACTTTTTCAATCCTCTATTATATTGCCTTACAAGAAGATGATGCTTATCGTCTTGTATTTTGGCCCAGAATATCCTCTATCCTTTCCTAGGGCCTTCCCCATGAGTCCTTGCCTTATCAACCTAAATGGAATCACTCCAGAAAACACAAACTCACTCAACGTATTCTGTTTGCTAAAACAAATCCTATAAGCCTAGAATATACTACATTACATTTGATTTAAAATGTATATAACATCAAAGAAAAATTACTCTGAATACTATATTAAAAGACCTAACTTTTTCTAAAATATATCTTATAGATCTCAATTTTTGTGAGCCACATCAAATCAATCTCTGATATTTCAGTAACATGCATATTTTTACATCTACATGAGAATGAAAATTGTACCGAAATAAGGTTTCATTTTTTAATGGAAGTTTTTTACTTTGCCTTCCTTTCACAGTCTTGGATTTGCCCAGTTTAGGATGCAAAAGGGCAGTGAGAACATCTCTTCATTTCACTCGCTTCATTATTTCCTTCCATGAGTCTAGAATTCTACCTGTCTCGAACTAACCTGTTAACTAAAACTAAAGACTGATTTCTCTTTTTTGAAAATACCATTTCAAATGGAATTTTTATGATTACAAATTTTACATTCTTATATTCAAATTTTTTATCAAATTACATTCTATGTGACAAATTCCTGGTTTCTTT